CAGTGTCACCTGTCGGCAGAGAGGGTCCTTCCAGGCCTTCCACAGGGGCCAGCCGCTGGCTGCTCCGGACCGGCCAGCCAGGCCCGTGCGGCCAGCGCCCCACACCGGGCACTGCCCACCGGCGCTGAGAGGCCTTAAAGTGTCTGCTCACATCCTGCCCCTCGGGACTCCAGCTTGTCACGGACAAACCAACTATTCGAGCGTCACAAAGCGACCGTCCAAGCCTCCAAATGGGCCCTTCCGGCCTGGAGCGGGTGGACGCCCCAGCCTGGTATGCACACAGAACTGGGGTGCGGGCTAGAGGTGCTGGGCACGAGAGGTTTCACCAGAGACAGAGTGGGAGCAACGGGGAGACAGGAGAGTCTGCTGCGCCCCGGGGGTCACTCCCCGGCTGGGGGTCGCACTCAGGCCACAACATCACAGTGCTGAGACTTGACCCCTCGCGCCGCCAGGGAGGCCCCCCTAAACCCCGCTCTCGGTTTCAGTCCGAATTCTCCAGCAGAAACAGGGCCACACAAAGAGCGTCCTTTCAAGAGTGGCCAGAAACGGGGTTCTTAGGGGCGCTGGGGCTGCGGAGGGAGCCTCTCCCAAGCCCTTCTGCTTGGCGACCACCCAGCACATGTGGCTGGTGGCTTCATCTTTGGGCTCCGCAGCCTTGTGCACGTGGTCCCCAACGCCTGAGGCGTGGCAGGACCCGCTCTGGGCTCTCAGACCCAACTGTGGCCCTGCAGGCAACACCCCAGAAACCCCAGCGCAGGGAGCCACGTCGGGGTCTCCGGTGGACACGCGGTCGACCCAAACGCCTGTGGACACAGTAAACCGAGACAAGAGACTGCAGAATGAACGGCGCCCCAGAGTGAACCCCAACTGGAGACCTGCACACTGGGACAGTCGGGTCCCTTTAAGGAGCAGTCCCAGGCAGAACCCCACCACGGTTTGGGGAACCCAGAGGCCGGGCTGCTCTGAAAGCAACGGGGTGACCTCCCCCCGCCAGCCTCCACACCCCCATGCTCCTGAACCCCAGGATGAAGCCACCGCCGCCCTCCTGACCTTGTCTCTGGGGCAGTTTGGATCACACGTTTTCGGGCTGCACAGAGCGCACCCATGCCCGGGACACCCCACTTCTGACCTTGAAATGAGCCCACAGCAGTCAGATGGACGCTCACCCCCAGAGCTCCCCCTGTGCCCCGCAGTCCCCCAGGGCACAGCGTGGCGAGCAAGCAGTGTGGCGGCGGGGCTGAGTATAAGGTGATCTGCAGACCTGTCCGGCACCCCTGGGAGCGCCGCGCGTCCCACCTGGAGCCCGGGCCCGCCCTTGGCCTGCAGCGGGCTCCCTGCTGGCCGGTCCGCGCCGGTTCACCTGGGGCCGCCGCCCCACCACACGCCTGGCTTCCGTCTCCCTCCCGGACCGGGCAGGCAGTTCCAGAAGCCTCTCGCCTCCTCTGTCCGAGGCCCCAGCGGCTCTCACCGCCAGGCCCCGAGCAAGCGGCGTTCGCCCCAAGATTCCTCGGCCTGCCCTGTCGCTGCGCCTGGTCCCTGTCCCGGTGAGGGCACCTTCGAAACAGCTCAGGATGCAGCGTCCCGGACAGCCTCGCCCGCCCTCTGCGCACGCTGCCTCCACGTTTAGCCGTGAAGTGACCGGTTAAGCCGACTCCGTGGGGGCACAGGACTCGAGGTGACAGTGGCCGTCGCCAGGGGCCTGGGCCTGGCCTTGAGCCCCGGCCACCCGCAGGGCCCACGCGCGCCCCCAGGCCGGTGAGGGCACAGCCGGGCTCCGGTGGGGCTCCGGCCCCTGCGGTGAGCAAGCGGCAGGGCTGGGCAGCGGAGACGCTGCACGCGAGAGGACACCAGAGTCCCCCAGAAAATGGTGCTGGGACCCACAGAACTGGCAGCAGGAGCCCCGCTTACAGGCCTGGGAGCCTGTGGCCTGCGGGCCGAGCTGGCCGGGCCCCGTGTCCACCCAGAGACCCCTCCAGACGCGGAGGACGGGAGAGCCGCCATTCCCAGCAAGTGGGCGCAGCGCAGACGCGGGCAGAGGGCAAGCAGCTGGCAAGAGCTGGGGGCGCGGCGCCCCGGAGGGCACTGCCGCCCAGATGCCCGGAGGCGGCCAGGCCTGGCAGCAAGGGCGGCCCAGAAGCCCCCGGTGGCAACTGCCCCCGGCTGCGGTCCCAGGTGCCGCACCAGGAACAGGCGGGCCGCCGGGCACCAGCCTCGGCACCACGGGGACCCCTGTGCTGGGGGCACCTCCACGCCAGCTGCAGGCAGCACCCACAGCCGTCGCCCGGCGGGCAGCAGGGGCCACGCAACCGAGCCGAAGCCCAGGTCAGCCCGAGGGGCCAGTGCGACCCTCCGCGCCGGCCCTCCCAGCACTGACACACTCGCTTCTGCGCGGGGCTTGAGGCACGTCTGGTTGACTATTGTATATTTACATAGCTAATGTAATTATCGCTAATGACATAATTGCTGGAAATGTGCATAATTGCTTGATCCCAACTTATAATTATAATGTATAGCAACATTACAGATCCCATTTTAAAAATCCACATTTTGGGGTGGAAAGCGTTACTAGAAACGACGGCGGGCTATTCGAGATCACCAGCTTCAGCTCTGTTTAAAAAAAAGAAAAAAGAAAAGCCGCCCAAGTAAACACAATTGTGAGACGAAACGAGGCCGGGCCATCTGCTGGGCCTGAGGCCGGGGGTCAGCCCTGCCCGCCCAGGCCCCAGCCCCTCCCTCGGCCCCCCCGACAGACACGGGCTGCTGGACCCTTCCAACCTGACGACCCACAGGACGCCGGGGCAGGCTCCTGCGGCCTCCCTGGCGGGTCCTGTCTTTGACTCTTCTCGTCCTCCTTGGTGACCAAGTGACAAGAGTCCCGAGTCTTCCTGCTCGACAGACACCTCTTCTGTGTGCCCCACCCCCACCTGGCCAGTCTCCCTCCCCTTGGCAGGGAGAACACCCCAGGCAGGAGGAGGCTGCATTCCGCCGGTCCCTACCCCAGCGGGAAGGAAGCAACCCTGGCCAGTGAGGTCCGCTGACCTCGGCTTACTTATCCTCGGCTGTTTCCCGCGGGTGGGACACGTGGGCAAAGCGAAGGAAACGAAGTGTCAAATTAGGGTCTCAACAGCTGCAGAAAGGAGGCGCCCAGGGTCACCGCCACAGCGAGACACCCCAACAGTCGCCAGCCGAGCTCTGTGCTTGGGGGCGCACAGGCCGGAGGGTGGTGGCCCGTGCCCGCTGCGCCAGCAGGTCCGGGCTAATAGAGGCGCTCTGCCCTGACTGGGAGGAAGGCGCTGGAAGGCGGGGGGCCGGGGACGCCCGGCTGCAGCCAGAGGGGCGGGTGGGCTCCCAGGCGGGGCCCCTCAGCCGGGGGTTGGCACTGGGGTGCTGCAGTGAGAGGCAGAACTGGACAGAATCCCGTTGCGTGAGACCGAGAGCAGGAAGCCAGAGCCCTCAGGCTGGGCAGGGAGGGTGCCCGGGGGCAGCTCAAGGGGCAGAGAACCAACAGCTGCTGCCCCCTGCACTCCCTAGGCGGGAAGGCGGGGCTGGCACCGCCCCTCTGCGCCCCTCCCCGCAGACGAGGCCCGCACGCCCCGAGGCCCAGGCTCGTCCTGCACACACAGCCCTGGACGTCCAAACCGACTGGACGGCTTTAGCAAGGCAGGACTCGGGGCACAGGCCCTGGCCAGGGGCTACTTGGGCCGCAGACGGCCTCGGGAACCCACTCGGCCCAAGGCAGGTGCCTTCGGGGCGCCGTGGCTGTGCGCCCCGCACAAAGGGCTGCAGGGGGCCTAGGTGCTGGGGTCACACTGGAAAGGACCCTGGGATGGCACAGCAGCGAGACGGGGCACACTGCCCGCCTACACCTTTCAGAGGGGGCCGGGAAAATCCGCCTGTCCCCGTCCCCCCAGCGGCTGGGGGACAGGACGTCCTGACCGACCCCACGCACAGCTTTCGTGGGCCCCAGCCCAGCCCAGCCCAGCCCAGCCCAGCCCAGCCCAGCCCAGCCCAGCCCAGAGGTCCAGGACACCGAGGACGGCGAGCCCACACAGCCGTCGCCACCAGAGGGAGGACACTGCGCCGAGGGCCGAGCGGTGCGTGGGGCCCGGCGTGCGGTGGGGTCGGGCCCAGCTCAGCGGAGAGTGGGAGGATGACGGCCGACGTCCCAGTCAGCCTCCACGTCCCCCACGGCGAGGAGCCCTTAGTCCCCGGCTGAGTGTGCCTGCGGCCAGGCCTCACAGGAAGGGGCTTCTAAGCGCCGGGTGAGGACCCGTCAGGGCACCCCACTTCACAGTGGGCTGTCCTGGAACAGTCACGCACCCTCCACGCTCCCCGGTCTGCGAACAAAAGCCCAGCGAGGGCGGCGCACCGGGCAGAAACACCGGCCGGTCCGGCCTACGGGTCTTCTGTAGATTTCAAAAAAGTTGTGTGTGTGTTTGGGGGAAAAAAACCTTAAACCCCAACTCCTGACATGGGACTGAGGGGACAGTCGCCCACCAGGCCACATGCCAGGGAGGCCACGGCCCCGCTGCGCTGGGGTGCGGGTTTCTGCCCGAGTTGGGGGAGCAGCGTCTGTGCCCCGGGACCCCGCAGCCGAGCCCGGGCCGGCACCCGAGCCAGGGGCCCGCACTGCCCTGTCGGGAGGGTGGCGCTGGGCTGGCGCTAACCCACGTCTCTGCAGCCTGGCCCCGCTTTCCATGAGGGCTTAGCCGTGTGGGTTTTTCTTTTCAAGAATTAAACACTTGCAGACATTTCCCGAGATACCGGGGAGAGGCATATTCACGGCCAGGGCAATGCGGCTCTCCGGGAATGTCCGGGCTCCCTTTGGAAGTATCTGAATGTGGAACAGACACGGTCCAGAAACTTCGGAAAGTCAAAGACGCCCTCACGTCCCGCGTCTTTCCTGTGCCAAGCGGCCGGGGCCTGCAAGCCCAGGGCCGACCTGCCCCAGGGCCAGGCCCGGTCCCACAGCACCTCCCGGCCCGGCCGCCGGCTCTTACCTTCGCAAATCCTGTCCAACCGCTGTCGCTTGACTTTGTGCTTATCCACAAGGGCCATTCTTCACGGGACGCTGCAGCTCTGATCCAAAAGGCAAAGCGGACTCGAAGAACTCAGGGTAACTCGCGGGGGTCTGCAGGCATGACGCCGCTGTGAACCCTGAAACGGGAGGAAAGAATCCTTACTCCCTGGAGCCGCGACAGGCCACAGGCCGTGGGCGGGCAGGGGGACTTGCTGCCCTCGGAGAGGGCGCTGCGGAGGCTCCTGCCCCCCACTGGGCAGGAGGCGCGACCATCGAGACCACCGGCCTTCGCCGCTGAGAGCCAGCATCCCCAGCGGCCAGCGGGCAGGACCGCCCTTCACTTCTGCGGACACTGAGGGGTGGTGCCACAGGGGAGGCTTTAGACCCAGCTGGACTGCAGGGGAGCGGGCCTCAGCCCACCTGCACTGGGGTGCAGACGGCTGGCCACCCAGCGCTGCTGTGTGGGGTCCGGAGCAGAGCCAGGGCGCAGCGCGAGGGGGCAGTGGTCACGCGCACGCACCGCCAGGGGTCCCACCGCCGCCCCGGGCAGGGGGCGGCCTTGATGTGGGGAGGGGACAGCGTGCCCGGGCCCAGTCCAGTCGCTTCCGCCAGGGTGGGAAAGTCTGTCTCCTGCATAGGTCGGGTCTGTGGGACTCTCCAGAGGGAAACCCGAATGCCGGCAGAGGAAAGGGGGCTCCCCGCAGCCTGGAGGAGGTGCGCAGGGGGCGCGCCTCTCGCCCCGCTCACAGGATGCCCCAGTTGGGCTGACACGTCACGTCATCCCCAACTTCCCAGCTCTTCAAGCACAGTGTCATCACCACGCGGACACACGGGCCCGTTCCCCAGCGAGTGAGGAGCCCCCCAGCCCGGCGAGGCTGGGGGCCCCTCGCGGGAAGAGGATGCGCGGTCATCAATTATGCAGACCGCTGGCAGTTCCTTTATCAAAGGTCAGGACGCAGGTCTGACTGCAAAAAGGTAGGCGACTTCCTGGTTGTTAATGGCCAACTTCCCAGCAATGCGCCTGAAAAAGCACCCCAAAGATTTATGGCGATAATTATGACTGCAAAAAAAGAGCCAGGAAAAGGCAGTTTCCAGTCACATAAAGAACTAACGCAGGCCCCTGCAAACCTGGGCTCGGCCCCCCTGGCTGGGTCTGAGGCACCCACGCAGGGGGCTGGGGATGAGGGCAGCCGGGGCCAGCAGACCCGGGCTGGCCCCCCTCCCCATATGCGGACAGGCCCCCATGCCACAGCCTCACGCGAGGGGGGAGAATGAATCACTTAGTATGTGTGAAGTGCCGGGAGATGAGGAAGGACAGGTATTGTCGGAGGCGCTGTCTGGTCCCGCAGCCCCTTCCCTTCCCGCGTGAGCTGCGGCTCTCCTGGCTTTCCTTTGAATTTTAATTTGTATAATTAGATGGCTTCCTGCGAAACTGATGAGCAGAAGCTCGAGCACGCAATCAAAGGTCAGCTCAGGCGCCGCACACGGACCTCGGTGACCTGTTACTGGGGGAGAGCCTTCACTTCCGGCCTGGCTGAGCGCGGGGAACCCCCTCCTGCACCCCACCCCGTGCCACGGGGCCCTGGCAACAGTTCATGGAGCCTCAACCCCTTTCCCCACAGGTGTCTTCTGACCCAAGAGTGGAGGCAAGGGACGCCTCCCCCTGGCCTCCCAGGGGCCAGGCCAGGCCAGCCGCCCCGCCGGCGTCCTGGGCGGGTGTCCGCACCGGCCACCTGCAGGCCCGGCCCCTCCTCCCCGGCTCCGCGCACGGTCCAGGGCCTCTGGCCACTGGGGTCACCTGCCAGACCACCAAGACCAGCAGTGGTCACAGCGCTCCACCCACGCCAGACAATGGAAAAATGAGGCGAACAGAAGAAAACCCTGCCCACGAGGCAAAGCTCCGGCCCGGGGCGCTGGGGGCCGCCCCGCCTGTGAGGCGGACCCCTGCATCCCAGTCTCCACCCGGGGGTCACTGGCGGAACCGTGCTGGGCGTGATCTCGGCGGAAGGCCGAGGAGTGTCGCCCCCGCCCCCGCGAGGCAGAGGCGCTGAGAGGGACAGAGAAGGGGCGGCCGACCGGGCAGGGGGACGCGCCTGGTGACCCCCACCCCGCCAGGCTCGGTCGCCCGCACACAGGGGCCAGGCAGACGGGCGCTCGCCCCGCAAAGCCAGGCCCATCTTCTACCTCCTGCGCTATCCCATGAGCATCTTTGCTGCTTGGAAAAAGACAAGATGAAGAGCAGGTCAGAGCTCCCCAGAGCGCGCAGTGGGGCAGCGGAGGCCGGCAGGGGCCCGCCGAGGGCCTGGCTGTGAGCGCAGGAAACACTGTCCTGGGCTGAAGGCGAAGCTTGAGAAGGCGGCGCAGTTTCCCCGGCTCGGGCCCTCAGCGGCCCGACGGGGCACCGAGCTGCTGGCCACCGACGCTCTGTGCGCGGGACGCTCACACCGCGTTAAAGCAGGTGACTTACAAACACGACGTAAAGCGCTTTCCCTGCAGCTGTTCCTAAGAATGAAAACAAGGCGGAGAGGGGAAGGGAAGTGAGCAAATCTCCCTGCACAGCGAAAAGCAGCGAGCAGACGCGCGGCGTTCACATGGTGGCCCCAGGCCGGCCGGCAAGGCCCCGGCAGTCCGGTTCTGCGGCCCGAGGGCGCGGTGGACAGGACCCAGCTGTTACTGATGTGCCTACGAGAAGCCCTGCAGAACGTGCTTCTCTGCGCGAGCAAAGTGACACCGGTGGACGGAGCTTCCAGAAAGTTCTCCTGGGCCGCGGCGAGGCGGGAGCAGCCGTGAAGCTTGGGCTTTTAACGGCAACTCTGGCTCACTGAGCTGCTTCAGGGGAACGACGCTTGTACTTGAGTATCAGTAAGGGCACTCACAGGAACCAGCTGGCTGCCATCAGAAGAAGCTGGGCGTCTCGGCTGTCCGCCTGGGGCCTGGCCGTCGGGGCCCCAATTACTGGGCGCGTGGACACGACTCAGCTGTCCCGCCACCCCTCATCACAGCCGTCCGTCTCTGGACCCGTGCAGCTCGGAACCCGCACGCAAGCGCACGCTCCTGCCAGTCTTGGATCTCTGAGAAGTCGGTGCACACCACCCCTGGGGTGGGGGCCAGCCGGCTGGCCGGCGCACTGGCCAGGCTCTTCAGGGAGCAGGCCACCCAGAGGCCCCTGGGGCCGGCGATGAGGCCCCGTGGCCAGCAGAGGGCGCTGCAGGACTGACTGCGATCTCAGCACAGACACCCTAAGAACCCAGAGGGAGACCTGGCGCTCCCCAGGAGGAAGCGGAAGGATCGCTCCCTCCATCTTTGAAGCAGCCGACGTCCAGATTTCAGCAACAGGACCAGCCCCAGGCCTGGCCTCTCAGGGTGGCCCAGGCGGACACCGGCAAGCCCTTTCTGGGGCTGAGCCAGCAGAGGCGCCCGCATCAGGGGCTTGGGGCCTGTGACCCAGAAAGGGGGTGACTTTCCATTGCGCCCAAGCATTTTTCCCAGGCAACAATGAGCCACGTCAATGGAAAATGAAAACGACTTGGCAGAGATGGAAACGGAGCATGCAGTGGGCGGGCAAGGCCGCCAGGGCTCGCCCTGCAGCCCGGCTTCGGGGCAGCGGGCACCTGGCTGCCCGGTCGCTGCATCCTGCACCCCCACCGCGGTCCTTTGTTGAAGCACAATGACCTCAGAATGCACAATGGGTTCGCAGGCTGGTTTGGAGAGGGAGGCGGAAAAGTGGCTTTTCCCAACATTCCTCAGGAACTGGGTCTGGCCTGGAGGCCGGGGCCTCGCGCGGGGCCCTTCACCTGGACCTGACCCCAGCGCGGCTGCTGGCCACTTGGCGGACCCCGGAGAGGCACAGCGGCCTCTGTGTTTGGAATCACCAAGGCCCACGCGGCCGCGGCCACGTTGCCCAGAACGGGGCCGAAGCACGACTGGCCCCAACCCACTTCCCCGTCGCCCTGGAGATGCAGGTCAGTGCGGCGTCATCTCCTACCAACGCCATCCAAGGCCACCACAGCGGGGACGTCCAGGCCCGCCGCGGCCCCCACGGGGCAAGCCACGCCTCTGCAGGCCCTGAATCCTCCATGCTCACAGATGCTGGGGTGCCCCGCCCGAGCTCCCCTCTCCAGGAAGCCCTGGACTTCACAGCCCTTCCCCAGCTTGTTCCAGCCACAGCAAATAGGTTTGCTGACCTCCAGGGGACCTCCAGACAGCCGCCTTCAGGGTGGACCCCTGGTGAGAGGTGTGGGCCAGCATGGGGGGGCGGGCGGTCAGTGCCCACAAGAGGGAGACAGAACTATGCATGTGATGGTGGGGGGCTGGGCCTCTGTCCATTTTCAGATAGAAGTATCTGGAAAGATTGTTCCACACCAAACAGAAGCGCTCACCCCAGACCAGCCTCTGCCTGGAGGAGGGGCCAGCCTCCAAGGTCAGGGCCCCAACCGAGAAAGCGCTCAAGCCGCAGCCCAGCCTGCCGGCCCAGGGGGCCCCAACCCCTGGCAGGTGAGGCCTGCAGAGCCTGCCAGGCAGAGGAGACACCCAGGGCTCCAGCAGGCGCCGGACACCCTGCCCAGAGAGGCTGGACTGGAGGCCAGGCCCCCACGGCCTTCCCATTCCAACCTGACCCTTCAAGGGGGCACTCAGGCGCAGCTGCCCTGACCACGTGGCCCCGCAGGACCTGTGTCAAGAACCAGGCCTGCGCGGAGGCCAAGTCAAGCTGCATCCTGCCACGTTTCCAACGAAGCCACGTGGCCACAGCCCCCTGCGGGTTAGGACGTGGCCGGGCCCAGGGGCTCGCAGCACAGAGGCCCAGGGGTGCTGACGCCCGGCAGAGGCGGGGGAGGGCACCTCTGCCCAAGAGGTGGAGACCCAGCCCCCTACCACTAGGGGGTGCAAGAGGTGGCCCCAAGTCTGCGGGCAGGGGCCAGCTGGGCGCCCAGCTCAGGCTGCAGGCCCGGCCCCAGGTCCAGCGCTGAGCCCGACACGCCCTAGTGGGCGCTGCCTCTGCACAGCGGCCAGGGCCTGACGTGCCGTGGACGGTGGACATCCTCAAAGCCAAGGCTGCTCCCAGGAGGTCACTGTCCCCTCTTTCCAGTGGTCACATCACACCCTTGTTGTGAAGTCCGGAGAAGGGTCTGACAGCGGC